TTTAATCTCAGAGCCTTCACTGTTCTGGACAATACTAACAGCACATTCTTCAGATAGAAGTGCAGCATTCAAAACTCTCCGCACATTACTTTAAGCTTGTATTGTTGACCCCGGTCTTGGTTGATTATCCTTAACCTTATGTCAGTCATTGTCTGTATTTGTTATTTCCTCTCCCTTTAATCTGATACTCGGTCACATATTTGACCAACCAGAAAGTCTCCAATCCGCACAAGCCGAGGTCTTGATATTCTGATGCTTTTCAAATTCAGTAGAAGCCAATTGTTTACTGTATGACAGGCTGTACTGCTAACAATTATTCCTGTTGCTTTTTCGAAAGATAACAGGCACATATTTATTTATTATTTATTTATTTGAACATCAATATTGGTACAGGGAGGCACCAAATATATATGCGCCACACAAAACAATGATAATTTTAAGGGGAGAGAAAAAAAGTAATAAACGTGCGGAATTATAAAAAAAGAGAGAGTGAATAATAATGAGGGAAACGAAAAGGTACAATCAGAAGAAATCTTTCAGTTAAGGAAGAAGCAACCACTTTTTACGAAGAAAGTAAAAGAAGGTTACAGCAGGATCGCCACTGGCTTCTATTCTGAGCCATATCTGATAACGTTTCCAGCCACTGTGTTACACCATCTCTCGGACCCCAGCCAGGGAGTTGTGAAGGACCAACCGAAGCTAGCCCTTTGCAGCTTTCTTTCATACCACGACACCATGTCATATACTGACCACCTCTCCGCTTTTTCCAACCAGTCCCAGAGTCGGCAAATAATGCACGACGAGGAATTCTCTGGGACGACATTCGTAGAACATGTCCAAGCCACCGAAGTTTGTGTTTCAAGATGGTGACACCAATTTCATTATCGTCTCTGTGCCCGAACACACGATGTCGAACCTCTGCATTACTAACATGGTGTTGCCACTGAATGTCAGCAACCCTTCGGAGACAACGATGATCGAACACAGAGTCGTCTAACATCCTCAACTCGGAGAGGCCAGGTTTCACAAGCATAGAGCAAAACTGCTCTCACCGTCGCGTTGTAGATCCGACCTTTTACAGCCAGACTAACATCACGAAGGCGCCAAAGATGGCCCAGATTGGCATAAGCCGCTCTGGCTTTCACTATACGTGCATTGATCTCATCACTCACGCCACCACTAGCACTTATGCAGCTACCTATATACACAAACTTCTCGAATACTTCTATCTGCTCACCATCCAGAGTGAGTACAGGGTTAGAATCCTGCTAGTCTTGTAGAAGTACTTTGCACTTCGAAGGTGCAAAGCACATTCCATACCTATGGAAGTCACCACTATCTTTAAAAAGAGCCGGAGGTAAGTCATCTGGGCCCGGTGATTTGTAGCGTTTCAAGAGTTGGAGTTCCTTGTGGACTTCCGCCTCATTTGGTGGATCAGTCGTCACCGGCCATGGAGGGCAGGACAGTCTGACCGATGTTGCCGGAGCAGCAGGCCAGTTGAACTGCCCTTCGAAGAATTCTGCCCATCGTCCAAGACGTCGATGGATGTTAGTGATTGGCGTTCCGTCATCCTCGCAGATTGTTTCGCTCACACCAAACTTCTTGCTGCCAGTGGCTCGGACGAGTCGGAAGAGCTTCCGGTAATTACCAGATGCAGCTGCTGCTTCCAACTCACTGGCACGCTCCGACCACCAAGCTTCTCGGTCCTTACGCAAGCTTTGCCCGATTTCATTACGTAACATCCTTCGTCTGCGGTCAAACTCACGGTCACCCGGAGTAGACCGACGGGCTTCAATGAGTTGTAAGGAACCAGAAGAAACCCAGTGCTTGTAAGCGGGACGTTTCGCAAACCCACAACAGACTGTACCCGCCATTTTCATGGCGTCATGCAATTGCAACCAATGCTCATCTATACTTTTCGGTGGAATGGTAGCTAGTCTAGAAGCTAGCTCGGTTCGGTACTTACTAGCAACAGAAGTTGCAGCCAGCTTGGTAACGTCAATCCTTTGGTGGTGGTCACTTCGTTGTCCACTGAAAAGTAAGGTAAGATTGGCGCAGACCAGAGCATGGTCAGATTCCAGATAGGTACTCCAAAAGGAACGGCAGTCTTGTACGCAACCACGCCAGCGGTAGCTGATCGCGATGTGATCAATCTGAGTCCAGGCTTGAGATGCAGAAGGGGGACGCCAGGTGGCACATCGGCGATGACTGTGCCTAAAGTTAGTGCTAGCCAGAAACAGGTTGTGGTCTGTGCATAGTTGCAGTAGACGTTCCCCGTTATCTGTCCTGCGACCAACAAGTCCCCATCGGCCACCTAAGAGACTCTCTTCTGTGCCTAGACGCCCGACCTGAGCATTCAAGTCTCCGGCTAGTACTATAATATCTGTCAAACGCACTTTCTGGAGAAGAACAGTTAACTGGTGGTAGAACTCATCGTTGATTGCATCCGGGCTGCAATCTGCCGGGGCATAGGCGGAGACGACGAAAAGACATCGTTTCTCACGCCGATTTCTTCTCACTTTGATGGGACTTTCTAATCTAACAGCAAATAACCGACTGTTAATGGGAATCCAGTCGATTAGTGCTGCCTGAGCTCTAGCGCTTAGTGCGACACCAACGCCAGCAAGACCAGACGAAGATGCCACAGAGTCCCCGGATAAACGCACGTAAAACAAGCTTTTTGAAGTGACAGATGGAGAGCGAATCTGTAGTACTTCACCAGAGTCTTGAATACGGGTCTCGGATAGACAACAAACATCGATATTCAGACTTTCCAAAGACATAGCCAGCCCTATCTGTTGTCCGACCTGCATAAGTGTGCGAACGTTGAAGGTAGCCAGTTTGAATGGTGTACGTGGTTTCAGAAAGATTGCTTCAGTACTCTTATTCGATGGTAACATACAATTTTCAACCAGGCAGTGGCTCGAGAACGTTTAGATAGAGCCGAATTTTCACCATAGGCGAGCTGCTGTATAAGTCGAAAAATAAGGATAGACAGAGTGGGAATGAAAGAGAGTGAATAAATGACGTGTTAAATAATAGTAATAATGATAATGTGAATTGTTTAACAGAAAATCGCAGCGAGAATAGAGTTTTTAGTGAATATCATCATTTTCATTATCATTATATTTGTGTGTAGGTTAAGATACTGCCCGGGTGCCCAGACCGAAGCGGGTGGTTTTCTTAGGGGGCCACACCCCGAGCCTTCGACCTAAAGGTCTAACCCACAAGGCAGTGGAGCATCGTGAGGAGATGCAGACCCATGGAAGCCGGTGACCAAGAAATTGGTTCATACGCCATTTGTTCCCGTAGGATACTGGAGCCCATGTGCACCATTGATTTGGGATCCGGTTATAGCGCCGGATGTTCGCTTTTCGTCCTCTCATTTTCGTAAATAACGCCCCCGCCACGAGAAGGCAGTGAGTAGGACTTCCCTGGCAGAGGCTGTATACGCGTGGCCGTGTGAGAGTATTTCGAGATGGAGGGCTAACCCACCCCACTCTCGGCCATACCAGGGCATTTTGGGGCACATAAAAACTAATTGTTGTAAAAAAGCTGACATATTACAAATCAAGGGTTTGGGAATCATCATTCAAGGCTGTCAAAGAAATGCAATAAGTTACTAACTGCAAGATATCGTAAAAAATAGACTTATACTAGGTCATCAGGAAGATCGTAGACACCAACAACCTGAGATCTTACTTAGACATAGGGAAGCGAGTGCATATGATTCAACTGGTTTACACTAAGAAGCCACGAAGATATTGAGTATTTGACACAAAATGGCATTTGCGTCCCGAGAGTTAGGATGTTTGTGTGTGTTACTATTGCTCTTGATCTATATTTATTGATTATTCCTTGTTTATTTGTTTCCCGCTCGAATCGGCAGCACTCTAAATCCCATCAAAATATTTTTGGCGTTGCAAAGGTAGAATCTTTACGGAAACGCGGTACTCTGGCTCGTTTCTTAGTGTCTGAATTTTCATCCTTATTAATCTCATTATACTCTTCAACTTCTGTAGTAGACGACTATTTATCTTGTCTGCTCTCTGGATGATGTCATTTAGGCATTCTTTTTTTCGATATTATGCCAAGGGTAGCGGACTTGTTGAGACGCTTCCTTTAATTCCTTCCCTGTAAAATGAGTCAAAACGTTTTTATCATAGGGATAAAGCATGTCATGGAGTGTCTACGTAATCAGGAACTACTCAGTACTTGTAAATCGTGAAAAGACATTGTGATTGTATGTTCTACCTGATAGCTTTTATGACTCATATTCAGGAGGAATACAATTTATGGACAAACCAATCAAATCTAACGTACCGGTTGTTGGTTTTTCATGTGGAATTCATTTGTCTGCATTTTGCCATTTTAACTGATGATATGTAAATACAAAAGCCATTTAGATCACTAAACGTTTCAGGTTGAAGTTCTAAGTTTACCTCAGTGATCTTCAGTTTTACCACCGAAATACCTACTTTATTTATTTGAACACAAACATTGGTACTAAGGGGCACCGAATACATGTGCGCCACACAAGTCACTTGATTTGTGTTTGGGCTGTGATACTTTCTGGGTGCCGAGACCAAAGTAGGTATCTTAGTGATACACTTCAAGTTAATTCTCTATCGTCCTTTGTTTCTTTCAATTAGTTGAGTATGTTATCGCCACCAAACATATTTTTTTCCTTCACCACATACTTGGAAACCAAGCTCAGCCTTGTTGACGGCTGAATATGACACAGCTGAAGCCTAAACACTTCGATTCTTTTTTTCATTTGCAAATAATGGGTTAGATTTGAGCTTGTACATAGTTAAATCACTTTATTGTACGTCTATTTACCATGTTTATCGGTTTGTTGGCACATATCTTTTTTTTACCAGATTATATCGCCGATTGAGTCAGCTGCTACCATCAAACTCATATAACATCCACCGATTCATTACCTACAGACGAAAAGTCAACTTATTGACGACCATAAGTGGTTGTGAGTGTCTACGATGATAATCTACATTTTCTTCCTCGCTTTATTGTGTGAAAAAGTGAGCTCATGGCATTCTGGAGAACTCCAAATGTTTGATTTAGTTGAAGAAGTCAAGGATAACTTTTATGATTTTTTGGGGGTTACTCAAGTAAAGATGAGTTTTATTTAATCTCATTATACGTACAGACTGCTGATATTTCTGAAATAAAACGTGCTTATCGAAAGTTATCTTCTAAATTTCATCCAGACAAGAATCCAGATGATCCTACTGCAGAACAGAAGTTCCGAAGGCTTGTAGGTATTTACGAAGTCCTTAAGAATTCGGAATTACGTGCTAAGTAAGTATATCGGAGAACATTCCCTTATTCTTTTTAGATATGATGAAGTGCTGATAAATGGTTTGCCCAGTTGGCGAACCCCAGTATTTTACTTTAGGAAGCTCCGCAAAATGTCTAACTATGAACTGTTTGGATTGTTCTTTGGAATGGCTACCATAATTCATTATGCTGCACTTTGGGGCTCAGTTTTTGAAAAGCGGCTTACTTTGGTATGACAGTTCACTTCTATTCATACTGTTTAGGAAGACCAACTTAGCACTTCTTTGAAACGTCACAAAGCTCGTGATCGGAAGTTGGAACTAATAAACCAAGAGATATCTGATGAACTTCAAAAGATTCCCGGTCCCGGATGGTTTGATTTGCTTCCGTTCGCTATTGTCAGATGGATATATGCTATCATCACATTTATTCCAGTTTTCACTGAATTTATTAACGGAAAGATTTCTGAGAAATTACAAGAACGTCGTGAACTCAGGGAAGAAGTTCGAAGTAGGCTCTTACAAATTATTTATCTGCTTATGAGTAAACTTTGTAAATATGGGTCAGCTCGATGTCTTCAACATAGGATTTCCTGGTCAATTTAATTGCATTAACGTAACACATATTATTTATTTATTTATTATTTATTTGAACACAAATATTGGTACAGGGAGGCACCAAATATATATGCTCCACACAAAACAATGATAATTTTAAGAGGAGAGAAAAAAAGTAATAAACGTGCGGAATTATAAAAAAAGAGAGAGTGAATAATAATGAGGGAAACGGAAAGGTACAATCAGAAGAAATCTTTCAGTTAAGGAAGAAGCAACCACTTTTTACGAAGAAAGTAAAAGAAGGTTACAACAGGATCGCCACTGGCTTCTATTCTGAGCCATATCTGATAACGTTTCCAGCCACTGTGTTACACCATCTCTCGGACCCCAGCCAGGGAGTTGTGAAGGACCAACCGAAGCTAGCCCTTTGCAGCTTTCTTTCATACCACGACACCATGTCATATACTGACCACCTCTCCGCTTTTTCCAACCAGTCCCAGAGTCGGCAAATAATGCACGACGAGGAATTCTCTGGGACGACATTCGTAGAACATGTCCAAGCCACCGAAGTTTGTGTTTCAAGATGGTGACACCAATTTCATTATCGTCTCTGTGCCCGAACACACGATGTCGAACCTCTGCATTACTAACATGGTGTTGCCACTGAATGTCAGCAACCCTTCGGAGACAACGATGATCGAACACAGAGTCGTCTAACATCCTCAACTCGGAGAGGCCAGGTTTCACAAGCATAGAGCAAAACTGCTCTCACCGTCGCGTTGTAGATCCGACCTTTTACAGCCAGACTAACATCACGAAGGCGCCAAAGATGGCCCAGATTGGCATAAGCCGCTCTGGCTTTCACTATACGTGCATTGATCTCATCACTCACGCCACCACTAGCACTTATGCAGCTACCTATATACACAAACTTCTCGAATACTTCTATCTGCTCACCATCCAGAGTGAGTACAGGGTTAGAATCCTGCTAGTCTTGTAGAAGTACTTTGCACTTCGAAGGTGCAAAGCACATTCCATACCTATGGAAGTCACCACTATCTTTAAAAAGAGCCGGAGGTAAGTCATCTGGGCCCGGTGATTTGTAGCGTTTCAAGAGTTGGAGTTCCTTGTGGACTTCCGCCTCATTTGGTGGATCAGTCGTCACCGGCCATGGAGGGCAGGACAGTCTGACCGATGTTGCCGGAGCAGCAGGCCAGTTGAACTGCCCTTCGAAGAATTCTGCCCATCGTCCAAGACGTCGATGGATGTTAGTGATTGGCGTTCCGTCATCCTCGCAGATTGTTTCGCTCACACCAAACTTCTTGCTGCCAGTGGCTCAGACGAGTCGGAAGAGCTTCCGGTAATTACCAGATGCAGCTGCTGCTTCCAACTCACTGGCACGCTCCGACCACCAAGCTTCTCGGTCCTTACGCAAGCTTTGCCCGATTTCATTACGTAACATCCTTCGTCTGCGGTCAAACTCACGGTCACCCGGAGTAGACCGACGGGCTTCAATGAGTTGTAAGGAACCAGAAGAAACCCAGTGCTTGTAAGCGGGACGTTTCGCAAACCCACAACAGACTGTACCCGCCATTTTCATGGCGTCATGCAATTGCAACCAATGCTCATCTATACTTTTCGGTGGAATGGTAGCTAGTCTAGAAGCTAGCTCGGTTCGGTACTTACTAGCAACAGAAGTTGCAGCCAGCTTGGTAACGTCAATCCTTTGGTGGCGGTCACTTCGTTGTCCACTGAAAAGTAAGGTAAGATTGGCGCAGACCAGAGCATGGTCAGATTCCAGATAGGTACTCCAAAAGGAACGGCAGTCTTGTACGCAACCACGCCAGCGGTAGCTGATCGCGATGTGATCAATCTGAGTCCAGGCTTGAGATGCAGAAGGGGGACGCCAGGTGGCACATCGGCGATGACTGTGCCTAAAGTTAGTGCTAGCCAGAAACAGGTTGTGGTCTGTGCATAGTTGCAGTAGACGTTCCCCGTTATCTGTCCTGCAACCAACGAGTCCCCATCGGCCACCTAAACGACTCTCTTCTGTGCCTAGACGCCCGACCTGAGCATTCAAGTCTCCGGCTAGTACTATAATATCTGTCAAACGCACTTTCTGGAGAAGAACAGTTAACTGGTGGTAGAACTCATCGTTGATTGCATCCGGGCTGCAATCTGCCGGGGCATAGGCGGAGACGACGAAAAGACATCGTTTCTCACGCCGATTTCTTCTCACTTTGATGGGACTTTCTAATCTAACAGCACATAACCGACTGTTAATGGGAATCCAGTCGATTAGTGCTGCCTGAGCTCTAGCGCTTAGTGCGACACCAACGCCAGCAAGACCAGACGAAGATGCCACAGAGTCCCCGGATAAACGCACGTAAAACAAGCTTTTTGAAGTGACAGATGGAGAGCGAATCTGTAGTACTTCACCAGAGTCTTGAATACGGGTCTCGGATAGACAACAAACATCGATATTCAGACTTTCCAAAGACATAGCCAGCCCTATCTGTTGTCCGACCTGCATAAGTGTGCGAACGTTGAAGGTAGCCAGTTTGAATGGTGTACGTGGTTTCAGAAAGATTGCTTCAGTACTCTTATTCGATGGTAACATACAATTTTCAACCAGGCAGTGGCTCGAGAACGTTTAGATAGAGCCGAATTTTCACCATAGGCGAGCTGCTGTATAAGTCGAAAAATAAGGATAGACAGAGTGGGAATGAAAGAGAGTGAATAAATGACGTGTTAAATAATAGTAATAATGATAATGTGAATTGTTTAACAGAAAATCGCAGCGAGAATAGAGTTTTTAGTGAATATCATCATTTTCATTATCATTATATTTGTGTGTAGGTTAAGATACTGCCCGGGTGCCCAGACCGAAGCGGGTGGTTTTCTTAGGGGGCCACACCCCGAGCCTTCGACCTAAAGGTCTAACCCACAAGGCAGTGGAGCATCGTGAGGAGATGCAGACCCATGGAAGCCGGTGACCAAGAAATTGGTTCATACGCCATTTGTTCCCGTAGGATACTGGAGCCCATGTGCACCATTGATTTGGGATCCGGTTATAGCGCCGGATGTTCGCTTTTCGTCCTCTCATTTTCGTAAATAACGCCCCCGCCACGAGAAGGCAGTGAGTAGGACTTCCCTGGCAGAGGCTGTATACGCGTGGCCGTGTGAGAGTATTTCGAGATGGAGGGCTAACCCACCCCACTCTCGGCCATACCAGGGCATTTGGCGGCAAATGTTGAGCAAAAGTAGCAAGATATGAAGATAATGTATCTTAAGTAGTGCCTTCATATCTCATGTCCAGTTGGGTGTTAATAGAACTAACATAATCATATTTCGTTTGCCTTACAGCCGAAGAATACCGTTCGTTGTTAATTCTAGTGTCCAAACTGTTAGTTTTAAATAGTTCAGTAGGACTGGGTAGCTTACTAAAACCCATTGAAGAAAATATATATGTTAGGTAAATCTAGCGACAAATTTTTCGTCATGTTTCATCAAACTGATTTCCAAAAGTTGAGTATCTTGACCTCTGAGCCATCCTTTCTATTATTTCCAAGGGATTAAATAAACTCGTTCACGAGTCCTTGGGTATGAACCACACTATGAGTGCTAATGATACTACCCGGTTACCCAGACCGAAATAGGCGGGACGTGGTTCAAGACAAGGACTGTGGCTGAAAGTCGAACACCTTGGCCACTAAACCATCGCTTTTTTGGCATAATGTTTTTCAAGAAAACCAATATATTAATCCTCCTGACTCCCTTTTGTTATTTTGATGTGTATCAACTTAAACCGAAAATGATCCTAGATTTGTGTTTATCTATGAAGAGCTAGTTACATGCTTTGTTTATGTCTTATCTATTTACATTTTAGTTCTTCAAGAAAAAAAAGAAAAGCTTAAGGCTGATAAACAAGAACGCAAACGTCGCTTAGTACTTGAACAAACAATCCTTAGAGAAGTTCTAAAAGAGGCTGGCCAATCAACTTTGAATTCAGTCCTTACAGACATCCCTAATAGTGAGATTGAGAGTTCTGATGAAGATTCAAAAAGTCAAGCAAAAGATCCTGTTTCTCGAGAAGTACGTCTAACTTTACTTAGTTTATAACATTTAGCAATAAATAATTTCAAGTTGTCGATTTTACAGCTGCATGGTGTACATTCTACGGCTTCATCATAACGAAACTAGTTTCGCTTTTCGAGAAATGATTTCGTTATATGCTGATGTATTAAACGCACAACTTTCAGTGTCCTTGTATTGATAATCGTGTTTCCATTTGCATCTCTATTTTACCCAAGCGGGTAAGCTCATTTCAATAACATTCCACTAGTGGTTGGTTATAAATAGCTGACAGTATAATGATTGATGAAATAAAACAAGACTGATAAAAGGTTTTATCACCGTCACATTTCTCACTATTATCAGGAGTTGGCTGATTGGTACCCTAAAACGCTATCCAACCTCGTGGTAAATAATTAGGATATTGGATTTTTATATCCTTATTAATATTCCGTGGACTGCGTGGGTTACAAAAAGGCTAGATAATTAATATCACTTAGTTTCATGCAATAAACACTTTGATATACAGATGTATGAGTCATAGAAATTATTACAAATGGGCACCGAATGATACCTGGTAATCACTATATGAGCAGCAAACTGAATATTTCAGATATCATATCATATCTCTTTCTGTTGGAATAGACTTGTAACTTCCTAAAGACATTGAACTGGTAAATAAAAACAATCAACTTGGCAAAAAGTGGTTTTCCTAACTAATTTTCAATATTTTGTGACAATCAAGGCGAAAATAAAGACAACAGTACTGCAAACATGAAATAGGGACATGTCGCATTAATATCACTAGAATAATGATTCTCCTAGCACATCTCCACGTTAGAAATTAATTGGCATTAATATTATCCTTATTAGCTGTGTCACTCTTATCTGGCCAAGTATTCTGACCTTGTACGACTGCATCTCTTTTCTAACTTGTTACGTTGTCTATTTTCGTTAAACAATATGGCTCATATTTGCGACTAGTAATTGCTCCTCCACACTGCGTATGCTTATTCACTCTCAGTTTGTCTGTTCATATACTACCTGGAATATACGTATCCGGAAGTCATCTGTAATTTGACTTTTAATATACCGTTAACCTAATCTTGTAAGGTTCATAGGATATGTGCGAAGTCAATAGAGATATATTTTTCACTAGCATCATCAGCCAGTGGCTTCAACTCGTGATTATAAACTATATCCCCTGAAATTTTCAACCACTGATTTCTCATAAACATCAGACGAAAATTTTATGCTTTTCAACATACTTCAAAGCTGAATTTATATACATAACGGATTCATGCTATCTTAATTTGAACTCCATGGCGCTTCTACTATCTTACTACAATTCTAACTGGCATCATGTGTCATGGCGTGAGTGTAGTTATGTACGTGCAAAATTATCTCACCTAACCCACTTTTAATGTTTCTGTGAACTTCATTTCATCCGTAATTTTGACTTCAGCGTAACTCACTTGTTGATTGAACTTAAATATATGCTTTTGATGATACTTGTGGACGGTGCCCAACAGAAGATACTTGATTAGCATTCTAATTACTCTACTATAATAGAAGTTAACTGAATGCGGTGAGAAATTTTTTCAAGGATTTTAATAGGTGACCTAAATGAACATTGAAGCATATCGTTTGGTTGGAGAATTGTTTTCTGGAATAATAAACTCGATGACCATAAGGCCGTCTATTATCATTGATAATACTCGATGTTGGTAGGTTATAGATTATACCAAACTTTTTCTTCTGTAAATTAATGTCCAGCCATTGTATTTAGAATGTTGTTCCGTGGAACTAACTATTCTCAAAAATTCCAACCAAGGGTTACATTTAACTAGTTTAATTTCTCTATTTGATTAAATCGTTCACTTGAGTAACTTTAACAATGATTGTGAATCCAGTGTAATATAAGGATTTTTTATGTCTGATTACTCTCTGCTTGCTATTCTACTATTATTTGTATATTTTCTTTGTCGAATGTGTAGACAATTTTAATTTAAGATATAGAACAATGTTTTTCAATATTATATTTATCACTAAAGGTTAGTTGACCATAAATATGCTTCTGCTTTATTTTTCAGTGGTCAGAGGTGGATAGAGACAATTTAGTTCGTGCGATAATTCGATATCCAGGAGGTGTTCCTGGGAGATGGGAACGTATCGCAGAATCTCTTGGTCGTAGTGTTCCTGATGTTATACGTAAAGCGAAATCTATGAGTAAAGAATTAATGTCTATTTCTCAAAAAAGTAGGTACTATATGTCTATTTTCTTATCAAGATTTCAACAAGTTTTCACTTGTAATAGTAATAATAGTGCTATTGCCTTTTTGTTTTTAATCCAGTGATGGAATTTAAACAAATTGTTTTACGAATGAATTAACCAACTTTATGTTCTTGTTCCTCTTGTTTAATTAATCATTATAGTAATTGACATTATAATTCTGCACAGTGGATTTTGTATTTTAGTTACTACGTATCATTTTTCTTAACTAATAGTCACTTTCTATTTGAGCATCATGTGAAACTGATTACTGTGTCAGATTCAGTTTTTTTTTTAAAAATCAATTATTATTTCACTAACTATGATAATTAGGAGTATGTGAATTATAGTACAAACTAAGAATCCCAGAAATAACGCAATTAGATCAAGATGTAGTAGATAAGCACAAACGAATGTACTGTATTTGGGATTCGAAATCAAGTATAAAGGAATCATTAGTTCATACAAACACCACTTCCGACACAGCTCAAATGAGAATCCAAATTTCTGCAATCATTTTTATCTCTTCTCCTTAGATTCATCGTGTCTGTCCGACAGTGTATTGGACGTAGACTCTGTATGATCTAAAATATGCTCATTAGTATTAAAATTAACAACCGAAACTGGAACGGACTCACCTGGGTCCTGAAATTGTATACAATCACTATGTCGGTTTTGTACTGAAACCACTGATATCTGAAATTTGAACCATAGATATTTCAACACTATCCTCCCCCACGAAATAATGCTGGATCTTCATATCCCTAAGTTATGAATAGTGCGACTTCATTTAAAACATATTTCTCACACTGACTGGAGTATTCATTAGAAGTGACTTCATGATAAGGAGAAACAACAGTTGATATGAAATCACCAGAATTGTAATCAAGATCGAGTTCATTTAGTACTCGTGCTTCGCACTGACAAAGTTCCCCATAAGAAGCCAATGCATTATGAGGATAAATAATATATGATATGACATCAGGATTTGATTCTTCTGAAATATTTTCCTCAAATTTATTAAGAATGTCATTGGAGAGTGATGAATCATTAGAAAAATCAGAGTTAAATGAAACTCAGAGTCATTGTGAGACAAAAGTTTCTAATCAACTAACTTCTTATCAGTTTTCTCATGTTATTGTACCAGATATGGTTTATCCTAATGATTTGTATATTTCTGATAAAACTTACAAATCTGAGGAAAACATGTTGAGTGAATCTATTCATGATCGAAAACATAATGCAGTTTTTGATAGATGCTGATTTTTCTATGAATTCTTTGCCTATCCTTGAGTACGCATTAGGTTGGGGTAACATAATAATGTAGTGTAGTTTTTGATGTCCTGATGAATAATTTTACGGAATTTTCCTCCTTTACCGCATTCGAAATTTGTATACTTTATATAGTCTAGCAGTAGTTCCTTGAGAGTTGCATAAGGAAGCGAAATAGGCTTTTCCGGTAAGGCCAGAGTTTTTAATAAGTTGTATGCTTCTTTTCCGATGAATGTGAAGAAATGTGCCACAATATTAACATCCTCAACATCTTCCTTGGTCATAGTCCAGATTTCGAACCTTTCCAAGCATCAAAATCTCAATGTATGTTCAACCATTCCATCACAGGCTCCATCGTGATGCCAATGTGATAATTAGGAGTATTTGAATTATAGTACAAACTAAGAACCCCAGAAATAACCCAATTAAATCAAGATGTAGTAGATAAGCACGAACGAATGTACTGTATTTGGGATTCGAAATCAAGTGCAAAGGAATTATTAGTTTATACAAACACCACACTAACCCGCCAGTTACTTCTCTGACTAATACATTTAATTCCTGGCACTTGTCATGTTACGTAAAGTTTCATCTCTTCTAAGTAATACTAGAACTTATTGATACTTATTTCCAAAGATGTTAGTACTATTATCTCAATAATGCCTAACTCTTACATCTCTATAGTTTGGTCTTTTGATATTTCATTGCATCAATAAACAGTATAAAGACAGTTTAGTGAAAAAATTATTTTCATTGGTCTCTGAAAACACTTCTCACTTAAATATTCTTGTTGGTTGGAGGTAGTCAACAGGAAACCCTTGGACCTAGGTTTCATGATACTTGGCACTCTTCAGCAACGTGTACCTGTAATCTTGACTACTCCCAACCACCATCTTATCTCAACATAGTGCACGCAATGTCGAGTCACCTAGACTAGTGGTCACATTGCAACTTGGTCGATAGGATTCGATCTGCATTAAGAAGAACCTGACATACATGAAATTGATCACCACCTAGTGATCAATTAATTGTAAATATGGTTGTTGTGCTCAAACACACGTCTCCGAATCTTCTAATTACGAACTTGGTGTCACCACTGGATGTCAGCAATCCTTCGGAGACAAAGATGATCATATACAAAGAATCACTTAACATCTCCAACTCGGAAACGCCAGGTTTCACAAGCGTAGACCAAAATTGCTCTCACTGATGAGTTGTAGATCAAACCTCTTACAGCAGACTAACATCACAAATTTGCAAAAGATGGCCCAGATTGGTATTAACCTCCCTGGCTTTCACTATAGATGGATCGATTTCATCGCTCATGCCACCACCAGCACTTACGCAACTATCTATCTGCTTACTACCAAGAAATAGTACAGGGTCCTGCCAGCCTTATAAAAGTAGTTTGCACTTAGAGGATGCAGAATATGTGCCATACCTACGAATAATAACTAAGTGCGGATTGCATGGCTTGGGTATCATCGCACAGTAAGACAATATCATCCGCTTACTCAAGGTTAGAAAGTCTTTCTCCAAGAAACAGGTCCACACCACCATTACCTACATCCATCAGAGCTTTTTCCAAAATGTCATCGATCGCAAAGTTGAAGAGGAATGGTAAGAACGGAAAACCTTGCGTAACCTCACAACTTGGATGAAACGGTGGAAAGAGGTAGTTGTATGCCTTCACTCTGCCTGAGGTGTTAGTACATAGAGCTTTCTTAGGCACACCCTTCTTCAATGGGTAATCCCAGAGAACACTCCTATCCAACGAATTGAAGGTGGTCCTGATGTCAAGCAACACAACGACTACTGGCTTAAATAGGCGGTGTCCTAACATTTGGCGCAAAGTAGAGATACGATCAATGCATCCTCGACCAGAACGAAAATCAGCCTGATCCTCGTGAGTCAAAATTTACCGGGTTTCAAACAATCTACTAAGTATGACAGAAGCCAATAGCTTGGACGCAATCGGAAGTAGACTAGTCCCCTAATAGTTGTTGCATAAGTGACGTGAACCCTTTTTAAAGTTAGCGACAACTATCGACTTATTTAAAGACGTTGAAACATTTTCTAATTCCCAAACGTTTGCAAACAACTTGGTCAGTTCCTTAACCAGAAACTTGCCACCCTCTATATAAAGGGTCGGAAGTAAGTCACCTGAACCTGATTATTTATGGTTCCTTAATAGTTGGAGTTCCTTGCAAACTTCTACCTCGTTAGGTGGATCAGTCGTCACTGGCCACGAAGAACAAAGCAGTCTGGTTGATGTCGCCGGAGCAGCAGACTAGCTGAACTGTTCCTTAAAAAACTCCATCACCCAAGACGTTGTGGATATTATCAACTGGTATCTCATCAGCTTCACAGATTGTTTCCTTCACACCAGACTTCTTGCTGCCAGTGACTCGGATGAGCTGAAAGAACTTTCGGTAGCTGTCACTAGGCTTCTCGGTCCTTACTCAGACTGCACAATTTCATCATGTGGCAATCTTCGTTTACGGTTAAACTTGCAGTTGACCGGAGTAAACCAATGTGCCTCAACGAATTGTTGGGAGGCTATGGAAATCCAGTGCTTGCATGTGAAACATTTTGCGAAGCTGCAAGCGATTTCACTCGTCATTTTCACGGTGCCATGCAATTTCAGCCAATGCTACTCTATGTCTTTCGGTGGGTTGATAGCTAGCTTTGAACCTAGTTCGTTATGTTATTTAGTTACAACAGAAGTTGCAGCCAACTTGCTGACATCTATCCATCGACGAATTTTTTGGGGCACTAAAACGTAAGATCAGGGCAAAAAGGTCATGGTCAGAGTCAGATAAGTATTCCAAAAGGAATCGTGCACACTACTACACTAGCGGTAGCTGATCACAATAGAAGCAATCTGAACCCAGGTTTGAAATCCAAATAAAGGACGCCAGAAAGCACATCGGCGATTACTGTGCTAGTAGTTAGTGCTGACTAGAAAGAGGTTGGAGTCTGTTCATGCTTACAGTAAACGGTCACCGTTATCTAACCTGCAACTGATAAATCCTTATCGGTCATCCAAGCCACACTCCTCTGTGCCTAGCTACTCGACCTGTGCATCCCAGTTTCCGAGTAATACTACAATGTCTATCGAACGTATTTTCTCTAGAAGAACACCTAACTGGTGCTAAAACTCATCCTTAATCGCATCCGACCTATAGTCTGTCAGAGCGTAGCAGATGACGAAAAGACATCGTTCCTCAAACCAACTTCTTCGCACTTTGATAGGACTTTCTGTCCTATTTATTATTTATTTATTTATTTGAACACATAAATATTGGTACAAGGAGGCACCAAATATATATGCGCCACACAAAACAATGATAATTTTAAGAGGAGAGAAAAAAAGTAATAAACGTGCGGAATTATAAAAAAAGAGAGAGTGAATAATAATGAGGGAAACGGAAAGGTACAATCAGAAGAAATCTTTCAGTTAAGGAAGAAGCAACCACTTTTTACGAAGAAAGTAAAAGAAGGTTACAGCAGGATCGCCACTGGCTTCTATTCTGAGCCATATCTGATAACGTTTCCAGCCACTGTGTTACACCATCTCTCGGACCCCAGCCAGGGAGTTGTTCCGTCATCCTCGCAGATTGTTTCGCTCACACCAGACTTCTTGCTGCCAGTGGCTCGGACGATTGGCGCAGACCAGGGCATGATCAGATTCCAGATAGGTACTCCAAAAGGAGCGGCAGTCTTGTACACAACCACAACTAATCGTAAGTTACTAGTATTTAACCACAGGTGCATAAGAAATATTGCTCTCATCTGCTAGGATCACCAGGTAAGTAATAGTGAGGTTAGACACAGGGTATTAAGGAATGATGGTAAATCAGTTGATGAGGATATGAATCTTCGTCGAGTGAGATGGTTAGGCCACGTGTTACGTATGCCTGAAGACGGATTACCACGACGCGCAATGCTGACTAGTGTTGGGGATGGTTGGAAGAAAGTTAAGGGTGGCCAAACCAATACACGGTATCAGTGCTTGAAGACACTAACTTCTAGTCTGAGCCATGTCGGTAGATGCAGACTACTTGGTTTGGATCCGCGTGACTATCGTAACCAATGGTTGGAGACTCTGTGTGACATGGCTCAGAATCGATCACAATGGCGTAGGCGTATATACTCTGTCTTCCCTTAAACTGTGAGATTTTAATTGCTTTATACCTTTCTTTCTACGAACTAATTCTTTCTCCCTGTACTATCTTCTTATATGCAATCTTTCTTCTATATATTACCACCACTGAATTAACGGCCTCTATGAATCCGGTGTTCATCTTGTTGTGCTAATGCTAATGCATATACGTGCCTGGTCCTACGTTGCAGCTGACTGACTGATTGACTGACACAACCACGCCAGCGGTAGCTGATCGCGATGTGATCAATCTGAGTCCAGGCTTGAGATGCAGAAGGGGGACGCCAGGTGGCACATCGGCGATGACTGTGCCTAAAGTTAGTGCTAGCCAGAAACAGGTTGTGGTCTGTGCATAGTTGCAGTAGACGTTCCCCGTTATCTGTCCTGCGACCAACAAGTCCCCATCGGCCACCTAAGAGACTCTCTTCTGTGCCTAGACGCCCGACCTGAGCATTCAAGTCTCCGGCTAGTACTATAATATCTGTCAAACGCACTTTCTGGAGAAGAACAGTTAACTGGTGGTAGAACTCATCGTTGATTGCATCCGGGCTGCAATCTGCCGGGGCATAGGCGGAGACGACGAAAAGACATCGTTTCTCACGCCGATTTCTTCTCACTTTGATGGGACTTTCTAATCTAACAACACATAACCGACTGTTAATGGGAATCCAGTCGATTAGTGCTGCCTGAGCTCTAGCGCTTAGTGCGACACCAACGCCAGCAAGACCAGACGAAGATGCCACAGAGTCCCCGGATAAACGCACGTAAAACAAGCTTTTTGAAGTGACAGATGGAGAGCGAATCTGCAGTACTTCACCAGAGTCTTGAAAACGGGTCTCGGATAGACAACAAACATCGATATTCAGACTTTCCAAAGACATAGCCAGCCCTATCTGTTGTCCGACCTGCATAAGTGTGCGAACGTTGAAGGTAGCCAGTTTGAATGGTGTACGTGGTTTCAGAAAGACTGCTTTAGTTGATTGCAATCAACAAACATATTGAAATCGATCCGATTTATTTACCAATCAGGAAACTTATGCACAAATATAGGAACAAGAATCAAACCATTAGGAGACAAAACCAAGACAAAAAAGTAAACAATGACAAATTTAAGGTCAATAAGAACCAATCAACATCGAGGTGCACAGAACAAGCTGTGAAACGCATATGGAGAAATTCGAACACTTCACTTCTATCTGAAGTTTGTGCTGATGATGTCGTTCAGAAGAACGATGAAAGCTCCACGACCAAACCATCCAGCTCAGAGAACAAAACTCCATCAAAGTATGTTCTTTTCTTTTTCTAAGCTATCAATAAAGTTAAATAAGTCATTTAAAAAAACTCAAATTTTCTGTTATAGGGTATGATTCTGTTTTCTCGTAAAGGATCTCGCATAAATAGAGCTGTCTACTCTTTACCTGTACTAATTATCAAGTTGAGAAGTTTTTACTCTATGGAATACTGTATGAAACGAGTATATGAGATACTTCTTCATTGCGTTTTCCAGTATATATAAAAATATATATTTACAAACTGATAGAGTTGTAATTAGTGTTATTTGTGTGGTTTTTTAAGTACATTTGCCGTTTGTTTACGATGTTTCTCTCATTTCTGCCACGACAAATTGTCTAGACTTACCATATCAACCCCATGTCTCACGATGATATGTACTGAGCTATTCACAGATTTAATATATCAGTTGAATGCTTCCACATTGGTCATTTCTTGTGGTATTCTACATGGTTACACTAAAAGATACTTTTCAAAAAGAAGTTCAGGAAATACTCGAACTTTTTGTTTGTTTTCTCTATCTACTTATTCTTTTACCAGGTACACTGGAACGTCTTTCTTTACACTAAATGTATAGAATTTCTCCTCAATTCGTCCCAAACGTCTTAATCATTGAATAATTTCTTTCTACTTATTGCGTTATTATTTAGATATAAATCCTGATGAAATCCCAACTTTTGAAACAAATGTAAATAATTTCTGTGGCGAAAGTAATTCTGAACAAAGTAATAATCAATCAGACGAATCAGGTGAAGAACAACATTCAAAGAAACGACTTCGTAAACGTTTATTAAGACGAAAAGAACCATACGTCGTCAGTCAAACAAATGGAGAAACGCAACTGAATGTGAATAATGATATATCTTCAGGTAAGTTTTTAGCATACACAAGTTAAGTAGTCCTTTGGTCACTTTAATTTCAAAATAAGATTCTTTTTATCAATCATTTGATAATACATAACAATCGACAATGATTTTTAAAAAAAAAAAACTAGTTAACATCTTTATGTACTTTCCAACTGAAATCCGTACTATGGGAGATAACAAAAATATCGTTAAGTAACCATTCCTATAGAGTATGAAATTCTGTCAACAGTGATCATTCTGAATGCGTACAATCTTTAAGTTCTGTTCCGTGTGGAATTAATTAGCTTGATTTATTATGTCCATTTTTTATTTGTTATTTAAAAGGAAGGCAATGACCTAAGATCCATTGTTGTTTTCAATCTTGTTTAAACTACTTTAGAAGTCATGTATAATAGTGTATGTTGTCTTTAAATATTTGGCATTAGTATTTTGTTGAAATACAACTAAACACATGTTTATGTTTTCTTAGGGGTGAGGCTGTCAATATGATTTTATAAAATCGAAAAAATGTCGTGAGTGTAGATTTTAAATTTTGATTTTATCAAAGAAGTAAAGAATAAATCCCTATTTTAAAATGGGAATATTTCAGATCAAAATAACTGCAGGATCAATTTTTTCTACTTCACTAATTTAAATTTTCTCGTTTAGTTTTGTACTCGATGCCTAATTTTTTTCTGTTACCACTAATACTTTTTCCATCTCTACTACTCTAGGATCTGCTCTATCAACATGTTGCTGTGCTAATATCGTATGGCAGCTTAAACTGATTTAAATACACGCCAGGCTCTAAGTTACGTTTGACTAACTGACGAGTTCAGTGATGATGACATTTTGATCAATTAAACGAGTTCATTTGAAATCGAACTCATGCAAGCAACAAACCTGATGTATTCCTAACAAAAAATTTTACCATGAAAAAGCAGACCTACAGATTTTTCTTCCTTGAAACTGATAAAAAAATACAGTGATCTTACATTTCCTTTCAGTTGATAGTGGCCTTCAACGAAATTCATAACATGTATTTCGTTCCATCTTGAACTTGTTAGTTAGATCAACTTGAACTTTGGTGATTTATATTGTTCATTCTATGGTTCAAAATCACCGTACATCTCTTTAGATATTTTGTTAATAACTAGGTTGCAGTGAGTTACATTAAACTTCTCTTATTTAACCAATATACGCTATTATTGTAGTATTTACGTTCTGTACTATTATTATTATTATCACCTGCTTATTATCGTGTTTGAGAATAGCTTTTACACATGATTGGGCTTGTACATGTTTGGTGTTTCGTTATTCAAATACATTGTCTTCCAATTTTTATCTACTTCTCTTTAATCTGATGTAAATTTAACATCTTAAACTTATATAATTTATATACTAATTCATTTTTAAAAAAGGAGTTTATCTGTGATTTGTGTCTACTTTTGTATGACTAATTTTGTTGGTTGTATTAATTTATTATTAATTACAGACGTTGTCATAGTTGATGAACCATATATTAGTCGAAAAAAACTTAAACAACAGAAAGATGAAGCAACACTTAAATCTACAGAAATTAAACCTATCAAAAGTAATGATGGATGGACCAAAGTAGAACAACAACAGTTGGAAGTCGCTATACGCTCTATTGGTAAAGGGACACCTGAGCGGTGGGATCGGATCACAGAATGTATCCCAACAAGAACAAAGGTATATTATTGTACTTGACTTGTCAACCAGTATTAACTTTTTCAGCGTTTCAAAGAATATGGTTTTGAAAGCTGTTCCAAAAGTCCTTCGAAATTTATCCTCAGCTGTTTATCAGTACATTTGCTATACGGGGTAGCTCAATAGCACTGGTATTCCGTTATCACTACAAAATATTTTTTGGGAAATTGGGTCGGTTAATTTATTTATTTAAACATAGGTACAAGAAGGTGCTAAGTATATATGCGCCACACTTCGTCATTCGATTTGTGAGTGCTTGGATAATTCCTCGGTGTCCAAATTGAGAGGTGGTTTCTTCGGGGCCACTTCCTGAGCCTTTGACCTAGAGGTTTGATCCACATGACAGTGAAGCAACGTTAGGAGATGCAGTTCCATGGTAACCGGTAACCAACAATAGGTTCGTGCGCCATTTGTTCCCTCAGGATCCTGGAGCCCATGTGCATCAGTGGTTTGGAATCAGGGTTTTCCATCGCCACTAGGTGGATTCTTTGTATCTGCCACCCCAGTTAAAACGCCGGACATCCACTTTTCGCCCTCTCGATTTCATAAACAACACTGCCGCGAAAGGTGAGTAGGACTTCCCTGACATTGTCATGGAAGAAAGCATTTCGAAAGGGGGAACAGATTCTCTACACCCTCGGTCGTTTCAGGGCGTTTGGGAAACAACCACTAAACGAGCGTAGAAAACGCAAAAACAAGTTGAAGATTTGTTTAGGTACTGAGAAATATCATAAATGTGCCGGAAATTCCGTCAGGATATCAGAAACGTCAAATAAACTGAACTTCAACCTACTTCAATAGAATTAAATTTCACTCAATTTTTCTATCCAATGCTTCTCAATGATCGCAATCCACTTCCTCTTTTCGTTAACTTTAAGGATTTGACATGTTAATCAGGGATTTTTCTTTTTATATTTCTGAAAACATCGTATATGATAAATATAAATACTGCTACCACTTATTAAAATGATTAACCTAGTATAAACATGTCTATTCATAGATTATTTGATTTACTCACTATAATCTTAAAATCAGTTCTAGTGTCATTTACTTAATGGTCGAAATACTGAACCAGAATAGATTATGTAATTCTTGATCTCTAAAGTGTTATTTAATGTTTAAAAATTAATGTATTAACTTAACAAAATTAAACTTTAATGGATGTTTTACTCATTGAATTCAATAATGAAAATCATAAACTTTGTAAATCTGTGAGAAAGATTAATATATCCAAAGAATTTATTGATTCTAGGACACCAAATTTTTAGTTTTAATACTGCAGTATAGCAGTTGGGTTTTTTATTTACGAAAAATGTGTACATGAATTTGTTATTTGCTTTATATTAGGTTCCCTGACCAATTTGTAATCAGATAAAACTATGTTAATGCTATCAGTGTTGCATATCTTCACATATGTGTACATTTACAAACTTAACTATTTTAAACCTGACTAGTTTGACAATAGGATACAAGGTTGAAATTTAATGACAATTTAAAATGTGTGACAGTTATAGCTTTATAATATTTATTTCTCGTTTTTATCAAGGTCAAGAATTGTTGAATATATTTCGAAACATGCCTGTAGGACAGAAGATATTTAATGGGATTTGCACTAAATTTTTATCGTAAACTTTTTTTCACTCTATCGTACTTAAAAGTAACTACTTACTTAAACCTGTTATCCCTCATGGAGTATTGACTACCTACTACGATCATACAATGAACTCTATCACGGGCTGTCATTTCCAGTCGTTCCCAAGTGCTACTCATGATCTTGATGTCTGTCTTTTTTCTTTTTCTTTCGTTGTTGCAAGGCTTGATGATTTATGTAATGCGCATCCTATTTATTTCCAGCATCTCTTCCTGATTTCCTCCTCAGTAGAAAGCTGGTTTGTTCCCTGCTACAATCGATTGTTCCTGATGGTCTCTGGCCACAGGTCCGGACTATCTTATGTAGACACCCGTGTATAAATACCTATAATGTTTTGACAATGGTTGTAGTAGTTCTCCAAGTTTCAGTACCATACAACATAACTTTTATCGTTGATGTTGAAAATACTGACTTTGGTGTTGAGTAATATTCTTCAACTGTAGGAATGGTACTCTTGACTTGAGAATCTGTGCCGTTATATTTGCATCAGTTCTTTCTTGTTTATCAATGATACCCAAATAGGTACCAACTTCCACCTCTTCCGGGGCTTCCTCATCAAATGTGATTTGGTTGGGGCTCTGTGTTGTACTTCACGATCCTGCTGTTTCCTTTGTTAATATTAAGACCTACTGCTGTTACACTAGCTGTTTTCATCTGCGTTTTTTATTATATATGAGATAGAAGGGTTAAATCTCCTCGCCACTACCAAATGGTGATCTGATGCTGTATCAGCTCCTCACTTTATAGATATTTCATGAACTTCCGATACTTTTTATGCAGATGTGATCGATCTGGTCCTCTGTGGTGCGTTTGTAGGGGATAATAGCACCACCTACAATCACTCTGTTGAAAGCACATAGATATGTCAGTCTCTCACGATTCTCGTTTCCTTTTTCCAGTCCGAACTTGGCATTCATTTCCTTTGTCTGGATGGTCAGGTTTTCTTCCTGGGCATTTCTCTATGATATACTGGTGCCTCAAAACTAGTCTTTAACATCTCCATCCCCATCAATGGTGGGTGCGTGGCACTAGATCACATTCATTCCAATCGTTTCTTTATTTAGAAAACCCGACCGTTGCTGCTACCTTGACGTGGTGGTCGGGCTTGCCTATCGTGATGAGCCAATCGAGATATACTGGCTGGAACAATCGTCCCTCAAGGTCCTACCATGCCAGATAGGTCGGTTGAAGAGCGGTAAGATCAAAGACAGCAAACACAAGGTCCGAAGGTGAGGTCGTACAGCTGACTATACAGAGGTGTGACGGCAGTGAGGCGTTTCTTTCAGACAACCAGCATCTGCAGCGATGCTGCCTTCCCACAAAGAAATGTGGAATTAGAAAAGGTCGACCCTAAAAATGCACAACTCGCCTTATCCCACAAATATCCGTCTCCGGTGGTAAGGTGAGTAGGTAATAGTGAGGTTAGACACATGGTATTAGGGAATGATGGTAAATCAGTTGATGAGGTCGTGAATCTTCGTCGAGTGAGATGGTTAGGCCACGTGTTACGTATGCCTGAAGACGGATTACCACGACGCGCAATGCTGACTAGTGTTGGGGATGGTTGGAAGAAAGTTAAGGGTGGCCAAACCAATACACGGTATCAGTGCTTGAAGACACTAACTTCTAGTCTGAGCCATGTCGGTAGATGCAGACTACTTGGTTTGGATCCGCGTGACTATCGTAACCAATGGTTGGAGACTCTGTGTGACATGGCTCAGAATCGATCACAATGGCGTAGGCGTATATACTCTGTCTTCCCTTAAACTGTGAGATTTTAATTGCTTTATACCTTTCTTTCTACGAACTAATTCTTTCTCCCTGTATCATATCCTTATATGAAATACTTTTTCATATACTACTATTTAAGTAACTGCTTCTATGGGTTTGGTGATCATCTTGTTGTGCTAATGATGTATGGCAACTTCGACCGATGCATATATGTGCCTGGTCCTACATTGCAGCTAAAAGAACCCTTTGATGATCATTTAACCGTAACATTCTCACTGTATAAGTGCATTTTCTTCTTCATGATCAGTGCAGAATAACGATTCTCCCTAAGCTGGTCTTTCCTTTCCAGCTACTGTTCAATGTGTTTCATTTATTCCAAGCAGAGCCAAGTTGTATCTTCTAATTCCTTCGCCTCTTGAGTAACCCTCTCGTATTCCTACAGTCTGGACATTCCATGTTGTTGCATTAATTGTCGCTCTGGTTTTCAGAAAAGGGGTGTTGGGTTAAATTTATTGTCAAAGTGTGATGTGGTTGTTAAATTCATGCCTAAGCCTCTCTCACTCGGGCTTGAAACTAGCTGTAACCCTAGAAGGGCTTTAAGGTGAGTTTAAACTTGACTAAGGTGACTTTTTCAAGTGTCAGCTTGAATAAACAATTCGGTAACAAAACGTTCCGCTTAACTATGGGTAGATTATTTGATTTCTTTGGGTTTGACAAGTTTTGCTTTGTCATTACATGAATTTCTTGATACAGGGCGTGGCGACTTTTAACAAATAAATTCCAGTGTATATAGTCTTGGTGATTAAGAATTGTGAAATTTTAACATTAGTATATTATGTCAGCATCAGGTGGATGAAGTATCTTTTTAATTTTCACAGTTTTTCAAAAATAATTGTTAGTGTATATAACGATGTATTGTAGTGAACAAGAATACGAGTGGGGACAATGCAATAGATAGTTAATTTGCAAAATACCAATCAATTGTCTCAATCCTGACTGTTTCTTTTACAAATATCAGCCCATCGTCTTACATTTCACTGTTCCTGCATTTTCATACCAATTGCCTTCCGTTCCCGCTCTTTCCTTCTCAATCCTCTACTGAAATACATTCTATTCGTGACTATCGTTATATACTACTTATGTGGATATAAGTATCTCACACCACAGTATATGTTGTATCGTAATGAATAAATGCTAATTCGTAAGTAGTTAAAGTGTGACTTTTTTACAAAGAAATTCTATGGTAAGTACAATAATCAATTCTCCATTTGAGGCTTAAGTTGTCAACTCAAGGCCGCTGTAAATTTACACATCAATTAGGTATGTAACGGTTATATACGTACAAATACCGCTTCATCTAGTTAATTATTTATATTTCCAATCGCATTATTTGTACTACATTTATTTCCAGTTTATTCTTAGCTCATTATCTCTAATTATATTTCTTTAGGCAGAAGTGATGGCTCGTGTGAAGTATCTCTCAACTCTTGTTCAACAAAAACACTGATCTATCCCTTATTGTGTTATCATTCCCTCAGGTATACATTTATAACCCCAATGTTTCAGACTGTGATCTTTCATACCTTATTAGTATGATGTAATCCATGTATTTATAGTAAAATTGCAAATTATTTTCTGGAGGACTTCATTTCTGTTTCGAATAATTCGTGTTTTTTCTATTTCATCTTACAAAAATAATCGATTATTCACAAGTCACCAATCACGTCTGAACTTGTATCCTTAACTTAACGTCCTTCTGTTTAATCACTATCACCGAAGTACAGTTGTCATAGATTGGCATGAGTAGCCCATATTTTGATAGGATTGTGATGAATGACATCTAGAGCTATGTTAAAGATAGTAACAGAGAAGAGAACTTGCGTAGGTATAGCATTGAGTCCTAGGGTAGAACTAGCTCTCTTAGACTGGATCCCAGTAGACAGTCGTTTGTGCGCTGTCCGACTAAACGGAACAGTAAGGACTCGAAAAGATAGGGACACTCGTCGTTGCCTCTTCGTCGTCTCTACCTACTCTCTCACTGACTGCGGCTCAGATGATGTAAAAGGTGAGTTTTAAGGAAAGCTTTCCGACCTTCTCAAAAAAGCTAGGCGCCTTGATGCAGTAATAGTGGCTGGTGACTTTAATGCTCAAGTAGGTAAATTAAGCGAAAGGGAAAGACACCTGGGTGGATCTTATGGAGTCGCGGTTCGAAGAACAGATAATGGCGATCGTCTGCTGCAGCTATGCGCAGATAATCGCCTGTTTCTTTTAAATACTAACCTTAAGCATAAGGAAAAACATCTTTTGGCATGGCGACCCCCTAATTCATCCCAACGTTGGACTCAATAAAAGACTGTCTCTCATTCTGGAGCACATGCTGAGACTCAGATCATGCTCTAGTGCGTGCGCGTATTTATTTACGTCTCACTGGATGTAGGAAAGATGATGCAAGGAAACCTGTTAGTCAAGCTAAGAGTATATTTCAGGAACAACTAGAAAAACAGTTAGGCAGCCATGTGAGTGATGCCCACCCCGAGGCAGCGTGGAACGACATCCGAAAAGCTGTGGAAACAGCAGTGATATCTTTTAGTACGGTAAACCACAAGGTTAGGGAGAAACACTGAATCTCAGCAGCGTCTACCGCACTGATAGATGCTCGAAAACTCATTCCATCTGGCTCTGAACATAACGGAGTCAGCTTAAGCGCAAGCTGACAAGAAGCTTACGCAATGATGATGATCAGTGATGTGTAGCGAAAGCAAGAGAGATGGAAAAGGCAGCGGCAATAGGTAACAGCAGACAACTGTTCAGACTTGTTAAGGAAACCGGTTTTAAGAACTCGACTGTTAGCGAAACTATCTCAGAAAAAGATGGACACATTATACATTCTCAATCAAGGAGATCGGATCGATGGGCAGAACACTTAAAAGATCAGGTCAACTGGCCTTCAGCCACACTTTGGTTCCCCACGATCGACCTGAATGACAAGTTGATGTAAGTCCTCCAACTCTTAAGGAAGTTGAAAAAGCTTTAGGAAATCTGAAGCGAGGGAGAGCAGCAGGTCTTGACAGGTTTACCCATGAGATTTTTAAGGATGGCGGTCCAGTATTAGCAGTGAGATTGACTGAGGTTTTAGGCAGAATATGGGAACTGGACGTAATCTCATCTGACTAGTCTAAATCACTGATTGTGCCAGTCTATAAGAAAGGACAAAAGTGATCCTGTGACAATCACGGAGGAATTAGTTTGACTAATATAGTGTCTAAAATATTAGATTCAATATTACTTCGACGCCTAACTAAAGTTCGTGAAGAGCAGACTAGAGGAAATCAGGCTGGTTATCGACCTGGACGTGGTTGCATAGACCAGATATTCACACTACGTCAGGTCCTAGAACATAGACACACATTCAGTCGCCCCACAATGGTAGTATTTCTCGACCTTAAGGCGGCGTTTGACTGTTGATCGTGAGGTTCTATGGCAGTGTTTGTCACTGAAGGGAGTACCAAAGAAGCACATTAACCTTATAAAAACTCTACTCGAACACATCTGGTCGAGTGAGAGCTTATGATGAACTGCCATCAGAATTGATTACCTCAAGTGGTGTTCGTCAGAGTTGTCCACTCTCTCCATTCTTGTTTAACTTTGTTGTTGATGTACATTTAGAGTTGACACTTTTGTCATCTAAATTTCGAGGTGTTGAACTTCTACCGGGAGATTCACTTGTTGACTTTGAATATGCCGATGACATAGTTCTATTTGGTGAGGACGATGACAAAATCTTCTGATCAATATAAGCAACAATGCAAAATGTTGCGTCAGGATTTGGTTGCATCGACACCCGAACTAATGATAGGGAGTGAAGTAGTTGAGCGTGCCGACCGCTTCACTTATTTCGGGAGTCTCACAAACTTTTGTGTCCTGGTGTGTGACGAAATCTCAGCACGGATACAAAAGGCTCGACTAGCTTTTGCCAACTTGCGTCATTTGTGGCGTAGGCGAGATATCCGTCTATCAACCAAAGGACGTGTTTACTGCGCAGTTCGTTCTGTCCTACTTTATGGCAGTGAAACCTGGCCGGTAAGAGTAGAGGATGTTCGTAGGTCACTCGTATTCGATCATAGGTGTCTTCGAAGCATTGATCGTATATCCTGGGACCACCGAGTCAGTAATGTAGTAGTTAGGAAATGGGTGCTAGGTAAGGATGGTAAATCAATTGATGAAGTAGGAAAACGTCATCGTTTGAGATGGCTGGGACATGTTACGTATGCCCAACCACCGACTGCATCGATGTGCGATGTTTTATGGTGTAGGAGTAGGCCGGAAGAAAGCTAAGGGCGGCCAGACCAAAACATGGTACAAATCCATGAAGTCACTTACAAGTGGATTGAGCTATGTTGGTAGGTGTAGACTACCTGGTTGGGATCCGCGAGATGATAGCAATCGATGGTTAGATACCTTGAATGATATGGCTCAAAATCGTTTGCAATGATGCAGGTGAATCCACTCTTTGTGTTCTCCGAAATTCCAATTTTCTGAATTTTCCATGTCCCTTTTTTTTCCTCTTGCCAAATTTATTTCACTAGATTTTACTTCTTGAGTAACATCTCCGAACCCCAATATGTCTGATTACTGCTTATACTTTTAATACCTCTACTAATATGGGATTTAAATCAACAATTGTATCTGTGATAATGTGGTATGGCAACTCGAACCGATGTACGTACCTACGAAGTTCTACTTTGTTGACTGTCATATTTGAGTGACGTATTTACTCCAGGTGGTTCATAAACAGGAAATCGTAAATAAATCATATTGCCGTTTCATCAGTTATGTTGTTAAGTGATGACTACTGAGTTGTCCGTTTGCGCATCTGAAAAACAATCATTTCACTTTCTTGACCATAGAGTATGTCCTCGAAGTGTAATGGTCAGTGATATACTCGTATCTACTAAAGGAATAAAGTATAAATCAATTGTGATATCTTAGTCTTACGCCGACATATATTTATAAGCAGGTAAATCTTGCAACAGAAAGTGATATCATGGTCCAATAATTCGTTTGACATTAAATCCTCCTAGCTTCTGGTCTACTCAAGTCTCAGTATATATCCCCCGTTGAAGTAGACGATGTTTCGTTATACGTAACACTTGTACTGACCATCTCAGTCACTGAACATTCATCAACTCATCAGTCGATTTGCCATCTTCTTTTGATACCTCACACTTAACCCCAGAAATGGTCACTTCGGCTTCCCGAAAATGCTCAATATGTGACTCAGGAGAATAGTTAATCAAACATTAGTGACGTATAAACCTTCCTTCGCTTTCAAAGGTCAAAGTTCGCAACAAAATGCTCACTATATTTGCTCGCTAGACAGAAGTATCGGCTACTCAGAAATATTGTTTATCCAATGACAGTTTAGTATGGTGAAATTATTCGTGAATATATTCCATATGAACAATGTCCTTTGCTTCGTTTTATACGTAACATCACCTCTGCTAATTCCTTCGTTCGTTCATTTCAAGTTTGTCTGCAGTCCAGATGGAGTATTGTTGGGGACGATAAATTCCCCAAAAACTCACATTATAATTTTATCGATTAAATATTTAAATAATTGAATAGCAATCAATTGACGAATGTTTAAAAATTTAAATGACAATATCGATTATATATATTTGTATATATATGTTCTAAATTGTTTGGTTGAATGACTCATTTCTAGTGGTTGCAGAATATACTTCTCATTTCAAGCCTGGACTTCTTCTTCTAGATAGCTGGGGCTGGGACGCGTCAATAGTTAGCTTACTGGTCGTTGGTCATCGAATCTCGTTCGCAACCTAAGTGAACTCGTTTAGCTTCAAACCATAACAAGTGTTATTAGTCTTTTATATTTACAACTCTGATTTGGACCATATCTTTGCCATTGTCAGTAGCTGAGTCGCTTTATACAACATCATACCTTAGCATTTACTTCACTGGTTCATCTTTGTTGTCACTTTGCTCACAAACGATAGAAACGTTTGGCCACTAACTCACAGAACTACGTTCGTTCCCTCTAGTGATGTATTTTTTTCTCCGACAGTTAACCACATTTTAGTGCTTAAAGATTTATCTGTTTGACGTATAACATTTAAATGTGCAAATGTTTAGAAACAGTCCACTTGTTATACAACGTAGTGATACGATCTGTGTAGTTATCTAGTGTAATTCATACTTACAGTCATGTTAAATACTGATGTAAATAATACCGTACGTATGTGTAATTATCATACATTGCGTGTCATGATCGATAAATGGACCCGTTAATGATTGCATTCAATACCCGCCACCATCCTTAGTCTATTTGACTTTATATGACTATACCATGTTTATCCACCAATTACAATCATTCGTGTTAGACATAAACTATATTAATTCTTGTTGACTCATGGATTACAAGGAACTTAATATTCAAGGTATAACAAGCAAAACACAAGACAAATTGGCATAGCTCTTCTTATTGTA